TACGCAAACCCAATTCTCAAAATATACACAATGCTTTTCCTATTCTCTCCTCTCACAAACTGACTTGACCATCAAAGGGGATACGTCGAAAAACACTACAACGCCCTTCTAACTCCTTTTTTGAGTGTCAAGAAGCACCTTCGGCACACCGAAATCGATTGTGCTGCTGGAGAAACAATTCATCACTACTTCTTAGGCCATTTTTTGGCATTCCTTTGCCGTGAGATCGTCGACTTTCAAAGTAAACACGAATTCATCAGGAGAGAGAACTGTCTTTTTATTTATTGTACAAAAATTACCGCGCATAATGATCAACCAACTAACCTAACAAGGACATGTCCTTATAGTTTTTCTGAAACTTTGGTAAATACTTGATGATAGTGTGTTGATTGTGTACTCCTCAGACAGCTAATGCTACTGCTGGTGATCTTTGCTTTTAGTGTAGCTTTGAGTGATTCATATTGTAACTATTGACTTTAATTGTTCAACATTTCGATGCCTTTGTTGTTCGATGGTAAAAAAAATATTTGAAAATAGTCGAAGTAATTTTGAAAAATGTTAACTGTAATTTATCAATAACTTTATTTTCTAGCTAAGCATATTTGTGGTTGAATCGGAGATAGTTGGTATAGGATTGTCAATTTTCGGCTTTTCACGCTAACCTCACATGAACCAAATACGAAATTAATGAGTCGAACATGAAATTAAATAGTTTAATGGGTAAAAATAGGTCAACACGTTTAAACACAAAAAAATCATGTTGGGTTCATATCAAAATCAGATCAATCCAATTTTGACCCGATTAACCCGTTTATTTTAAATGGATTGACATGATTCGATCACAAACCTGATCTAACCCATTGTAGACCCGCTTATGACAGTATAGTTTGCCTCTTATATATAACTGATGTGGTCTTAATATTATTACTTATTCATTCTTGTTTATATTATGGTAATTACACTACAAGAATTTTGGGTTTTTGCATCACTTTTTTTTGCAACAGTACATTTACTGTGGCAAAATTAATTTTTTTGCACTATTCCTAATGCCATCGTTTAAAATAATTTATTTGCAATGGTAAGTCGTTGCCGTGGCAACAAATACAATAATTTTTTTTTTTTTGCGATAGAAATTTTTTCCGTCGCAAATTTTTCGCTTGTGTTACATTGAGGACTTGTTGTGATAATTAGTCTATGTAAAACAACGGGCGATGCTCCATGCATCGCTAGGCTGGGGTTCAAGCACAAAAAAAAAGTCTAAGTAAAACAACGTCGTTTTGTGGGTCTATTATTAAAATGATATTATTTTGTGGGTTGGGTCTATTGTTTTAGTAATATAATTTTTTTTTTAGATAAATTTAGTAATATATCTATATCTATATAATAAAACATATGAGAAGTTGAATTTTTATCCGTACATATTTCCCTCCCTAAAACCATCACATCCAACTCCCTGACCCCCTCCCCCTCTCCCCCACCCCCGACACAACCAAATCTAACCACAACCGTCTCCCTAGCAAACACAGTGGCTCTCCCCTTGATGTCCTCTCTCTCTCTCTCTCTCTCTCTCTCTCATATGGTTTTAGCCTTGATGCCACACGCCACTAACGCTAACAATGTCACAATCCGACCCTGCCACAGCACCAACGCCATTGCCACCGTCACTATCTTAGGTATTTCTCTGCTACTTTGCTACGCACAGATCCCCCACATTTTCCTCCCCTCCTTTTTCCTCCTCATCTCTACGCACCCCGATCCCCAAACCCTATGTTTCTCACCTCCCCCCAAACACACACACCATTTCTATTTCACACCCACCTACCGAAACACCCCTCTCCTTTTTCGATGAAACACACACCCACTGAAACAAACCCCTCCCAAACCATCTATATTTTGCCCACACACACACATACGGGGAAACAAACCAAGAAAAAAAAATCATCTTGTAGCTTGTTATTCTTCCAATGAGTTCATTAAATAATTATACTTATATGTGTACGCACAATGTAGCTGTTTTCTTTTTATATGTTGGCAATAATTTGTTGATCTATTTGCTCAAGTTTGGATTAATTAGAATTCTCTGGGATAAATGATTTTATCTTCTTGTTGCATTGGTAAACCTAAGTGTGTTAGTCGTTGGATCTTGGTAGTGTGTAGAAATCACAATGCCTAAATGGGTACACAAAGAATTTGCTTGGATAATGAACCTCATCAATAACTATTTTTCCTAAAAGATAATTGGGTGATAAATGTCTACTGGCAGGTGGGATGGATAAGAATTCTTGTGTATAGTTCTTTGAATGATGCTATTATACCTACGCGTTTATTGATTTTTTCCTTTATTTCTTCTTATTTGACTATGCAGGATATATAAGAATTATAATGAATTGCATTGCCTTTGTCATATGCTTTTTTGAAAAAAAGCTTTTTTCATGTCTCTATTTTATTAGGTGAGAATCTATGTTTATGAGGTTTATGGATTTTGATTGTTGTAGAAGTTGAAATTAAATTTTTGAATGACTAAATTTGTGATTTCAGCTTTGTCTGTGATGCCTTGGATGGTTGGTTTGCCCACAAATTCAATCAAGGTTTGAATTTGTTTGGAATTACTGTTGAGCAGATAGTGGGAAAAAGTTTTGCTTGACCATTTAGTGATGTATATTTTATCTTAATTAATATGTATATAATTAGCAACCAAACATATTATTGACAATAATAACACACATCGTATCTTTTGTAGGAGTTATTAAATGAGTAGACAGCGTAGAGAGTAGATGACGCATGGGTAGAGAGTACACATTGTGCATGATTAAAGAGAAAATGGTGCATTGAGAGACTAAATATTTTTATTATGCATTGACACTTTCATTATGTAGTTTGGAATATTTTGTTTTTAAAATTTCGGATGTTATTTGCTTATGCTGAAAATATTTTTATTTTTAAATTTAGATGGTTTTGTTTTGAGAGATGTGTTTTATTATTTTAATCAAATGATGTTATGGATAATGTATTGGATATGTAAATAGGTGTAAAGAAACATGTGAAAGAAATAATTAGATTTAAAAAAAAATTATTTATGAAAGCAAGTTGCTAACGCAAATGACGTCAATAGAGTAATATAATTTTTTTTGCATCGACCTTCTACAATGGAAAATAATATTTTTTGCAACGGTTAAAAACTATCGTAAATGAATTTGTTGATATTGTTCCCTACTGTGACTAATAATATCTTTTGCAACGGATTAAAATGGTTGTAAATGGATTTGTTGCGACAGTTCCCTACTGTGGCTAATAGTATCTTTTGCGAAAAATTTTAATCATTGTGAACGGGATTTTTTGCGACGGTCCCCAAATGTGACTAATAATACCTTTTATGATGGATTTAAACCATTGCACATGGGTTTTTTGTGACAGAAATTTGCTGATGCAAACAAAAAATGTCGGATCTAAGACTTTTTTGCGACGACGCATTTGCATCGGATTTTACTTACCACCCCCAATTTGTCGACTCAAAAGATCACGTTGTCGTCGCAAATACTAAATAGTATATTAGTATTTGCGACGGTAACATGATCTTTTGAATCGGCAAATTGCTGATACAAAAAAATCCTTTTCTTGCAATGTTAATAGTATAGTTCTTAACATTATTATAACAATATACTAGTATAATTCTTATTTTAATTTTTGGGTTAAAACTTGAATATATTTTAGTCAATTTTATTGATGAGATGTGATGTATTATTAATAAAAAAATTATTTAAAATTTTAAATAAATGATTGAATGGTGTATTTAACGGTAATCAACAGTTTTGGTGGTAAGCGGTACCATAGGAAGTACTATAATGAAAAGGGTTAGAGGGAAAGTCTCTAACTGCATTTTAATAACAATTAACTTGTGTAATAAGATTCCCTCCTGTTCAAAACTAACATGCTTTAGTTGCTACTTGTGTCACACAACAACCAGCTTATGTAAGCACAATCGCAGTGGTGCATTTTTCTAACAAAAAAGAAGACTATGTGATGTCAGAGTTGCCAATTACCATATGGGGAAGACTTGTTTAAATACGGAATCATTTTAATTGGTGCAAATTAGAAAAGAATGCCACAAGTGCTAACTTTCTGTTTTGCAAACACTTGTGACGTCCTAGGATTTTTTATTTATTGGAAAAATTATACTTTGACCCCCCTAAAGTATTACCATTTGTTTTACATTTTCCCCTCATTTTCATTTTTTCACATTGTATCCTTAATTATGTGATTAGTTTCAATTGTTTTGTGTGAAGCCCTGCTCTCAATTCAATTCACAGAATTACTTGAGTACAATCATTCATCAAATATCAGAGTCGAGAGAACACAAGTGTAAAAACATCACGAATGACAAAAGCTTTGACAACAAGAGACGAGAATGGTCAACTAGAGTTTTGCAAAAAAAAAAAATTCCTAAATTGAATTATTTATTATTAATTACTTCTTTTAGTGTTTAATTATTATTGTTTTTAACATTTATTTTCATATTTTTATAATAAATTGAACTTGATTTGGCTCGCTTTTGGATCGATTGTTTGCACAATTGGATCGAAACGAGTTTGAGTTAAATTCTACTACAAGAAATTAGTCTTTTAGCTGCGAAAATTATTGCGATTAAATGCATAAAAATTGTCGCTATATACATTAGTGACAATATTTTTATTGCCACTGGGCCGCAACAATATGTGTGTGGCTATATCATTTAGTTATGACACTTAATTGTTGTCACTAAAAGTAAATTTTTTAGCCGCATCATAAAAAATGTCATTAAATGTAAAATTTTTAGCCTCCATAATTGTTATAGCAAGTAAACTAAATTTTACCACTAAAATATATTATATCACTACTAAAAGTCCGATTAAAACCTGACTTTTAGCGACAATAGTTAATTGCGGCTAAAAATATACATTTTACCCATAATTAAAATCACCACTAAAATTTGAAACATGACTTTTGAAAGCAACCTATCGCATATTTGAAAGAATTTATTTTTCAATATTTTCAAATTTCACATACTTTTTTTTTTTATTGAAATCAAGTATTACAAGAAGCAGATTTTACAAGAATCAAAACAATGAAAAGCCTAAAATTCAAGGCTTTAATCACTCCAAAAAAACCAATCAATCTGTACAGTCTTCAATTCCCCTTGTCCAGAGACATGAAGAGGCAGTATAACAGTCTTCTTCCTTAAAACTTTGGTACCCTGCTGATCTAGCTGCTGCAGCTTCCTGGCCTGATCAGAGATTGCTTTCTAAAATTCTAACCAATCTCAACATTCTCACCACAAGGCCTTCATTCCTTACAAGCTGAAAACCAACAAAATCAGCTAACTTCTTTCAGACTAACTCAGCAATTTCACAATCAATAAAAACATGACCCACAGACTAATCTATGCAACACAGTGAACACCTACTGGTTTGTCCCAAATACAAGCCATGACAGCAGTTGAGCATATTTAACCAATTCCAGAACTTTCAATGAGGGGTTTGCCTCCAAAAAGGCTAAAACGGCCTTGTTTCAAGCAAAGTTACTCTGGGGTGTGTTTCACAGCAACTTCAGGGCAATGAATAAAAAGTATTTAGCAGCACATTTGAAACATCTAGCAACTAGGGATCTACGAAAACAGACCAAGGCCACTAAATAAACTTTCTTCTGCATAAAAAATTTTCTTTCATCTAAAAAACTGAATACTGAACTAATAAGATAACACTTCAATTCCTCCTCCGCATACTAGTTATTAGATCTTTCGTCTTCAGTCTTCAGAGGCGAGCCTTTCAAAGCTTCCACTGGTTTATACCTAACATAAATTACCCAACATTAATAGAAATTCATTGAAGAAAATCAAGAGAAGACATATTGGAGATGATTCAAATATTTATCAAGACTACATAACTAGTTTACTCAATGTAAAGATATTATACCAGCTCAAGAGATGTCACTGAAATGTAAAGATAATCCAAGAAAAATATAACCAATAATCAAAAAAGAGACAAGACAAAAGTACATGGGATTTGAATCAAGTACCGGATATTCACTAGCAAGGTTGGGCTTGTAAAAATCATAAGCATGTGACATATGACTTCCCCTGAATTTGCTTTCCAATGCAATAGGATACAACAATTAATGATGAGCTAAAACAAATGAAGGTGATTATTATACCGCACTGTCTGTGCATACAACAAGCCCATAGCGTCCATCTCATGAACTACTCTCCACCCAGTTGACACAGTTGAACAATGCTGCAGTTCCCCCATAGCATGCATTGGTTGAGTTAACACCTTCAATATCAATATTTCCACATCCCTGGTTGTTTAAAATGTCAAAAGAGTAGGACAATTTTGTGAGAAACAAGATTAATAAAAAAATACAAACTGCAGCAAATTGAAGTGTGCAGGGAAAATATATAGGCCATCCAACCATAAAAATAACAAAACTAAAATACTCTGAATCTCATAGTAACAGGGCGTCGACGAAAGTAAAATACTCTAATCAAGGAACCAAATATGTGGATCAAGGTTCAGCTGAGTGACTGGAACCTAAACATACAACTTAATAATGATTGCCCCATGCCTCGATCTGATATTTCAATATAACGAGTTCCAAGGGACTACCACATGGTCATAGCACCAACCAACAATAGAAGACGAGATAATTTCAAATGTAAAGGCACCAGTTTCAATTGGTAGATACCTCAAAAATTTGCATGAGGAATGTCTTAATGGATTTGCTCTTGTCTATAACAGTCTCACTGCCCACTTCAAGCCGACCAATTTGTTTCGGGTCAATCCCATACTTCTCAAGAAGTGAAGTAACAGCTGTCAGACTATAGATCAAAGAGTAAGAAAATATCGTATGCACACTACATAACCAAAAATATAAGTTAATCAAACTAGACCTTTTGGAAGGCACTGAGCGGTGCTAGGATGGACCCTCCAATCCAGACACTGTACTTTCTCTCTGGCGGTGCCACGACCTTTATCTTCATGTTGCTTGGAGCAAGACCTGTGATTTCCTTACTCATACAATCAGCAATACCATGGAACATTGTTGAGCCACCACTGAGCACAATGTTGCCATATAAATCCTTCCAGATATCTACATCACACTTCATGATCGAGTTGTAGGTCGTCTCATGTATTCCTGCAGTTTCCATTCCAATCAATGATGGCTGGAAGAGGACATTTGGACAACGAAACCTCTCAGCTCCAATAGTGATGACTTGTCCGTCAGGCAGCTCATAGCTCTACTCAATTGATGAGCCGTTCTTGGCAGTCTCCAACTCCTGTTCGAAATCCAGAGCAACATAAGCAAGCTTCTCCTTCATAACACAATTTCCCGTTCTACAGTTGTGGTGAACATGTAGCTTCTCTCGGTGAGAATCTTCATAAGGTTATCTGTGAGATCTCGACCAGCAAGATCCAAATGAAGGATGGCATGTGGAAGCTCATAACTGTCAAAAATTGGAACCGTGTGGCTCACACCGTCACCAGAATCAAGCACTATACCTATTCAGACACAATATAGATTCAATAATCAAGTGCATAAGGCAGAAAAAAATCAAATATACTGAGTGATTGATGTGATATGAACCAGTTGTACGACCACTGGCATAGAGAGAAAGAACGGCCTGGATGAAATTGTTCTGCGAGAAATAATCATCCACTAGATGAAATGTAGACATCATTGTGTACAATAAGGGTCCTTTGTGAAAGTGAAACTCAGACAGAAAGTCCTATAAATAGACAATACAGAGTTTAATTATATGGGAAAGCAATCTAGAATAAATTATCTTCAAATTAAACAACTGAGAGAATTCCTTTAACTAATTCTCAAGCATATCCTAGTTTGACAACTTCAATGGCATGACAAACTTCTACAGGGATTTTGAATCTTGACTGTTTCAGACTAAAGAGTACTCATGAACTTCGTCGTCAGCTCAATTAATAACTCCCAAACGTTGTAGCAATCTAGTGAAAAATTTTGATCTATTCCAAATGTAGACAGCTTAAACTGAATATTTGAAAAGTATACAATTTCTATATTCCACCATAAAATTTCTACATTCCACCTTAGGATTTTAAAATTTTTTAAGTGCTTGCTCAATGAAATAAATCTAGCAGCTAACTAAAATTTGTAAACTATACATCTCCAAAAACATTGACAATTTTCATCCACCTGTGGCAATTTTATGCAACCATATCACAACCCAAACCAACTTCTGAGCTCTTTATACTTTCAAAATAAAGTAAGATAAGTAACGAGGATCGCAATTAAAAATGTTGCTGAACTGCAAGAGAACTAAGGATGTGTAGAGGCCAAAACAGATACTTTAGCAAGCAAGAACCCAAGAGCGAAGGTGAGGGAAAGAATGCTGGAATAAGTAATAGATAAATCAATCAAATTTTATAGCCATAAATCAAACCAATATGGAATTACAACAACAATACAAAAAACAAAAAACAAATCAGAGAGTAGAACAGAGAAGAGAGAACAATTTCAAAAAACAAAAAACAAATCTGAATTATCTGCCAAACACAATCAATGCTCGACGGAGAACGGAGAAGCAAATCAGAGAGTAGAGGGAGGAGCTTACTAAGGCAATTCGTAAAACTCCATTACTCCACACATAAGCTGAAAATTGCAATCAAACAAAACCAGTTGCTGAATAGATTCTTCTGCAATCACCGAGAGGTTGAGAGATATAAGGCTTCGTGTCCTAGCCGATGAGTTGTGCCCTAAACGATCAAAAATTGAAATCCAATTTCAAAAACCTAGATCGACGATCAGAAATTGAAATCCAATTTTGAAACCTAGATCAAACCGACCAGAAATTTTGTGAGATCATTATTGAAATTGTGCGTGCACAGAGAGAGAGAGAGCAAGTATATGCGTGACAATCGATGGTGGCACCTTAATCTTCTTCTCATCGATTTTCAAAATAAGCTCAGCCTTCTCAACAACCAGGGCAGTGGTGGCGATCGAGGTGTCTCCGATGGAGTCTTCAAACCAGTGGGAATTGTGAAGGCTAAGGAGTTGAGAGATCGACGATCGATGATAGAGAGAGAGAGAGAGACGGTGAGAGTAATTTTGGGGGAAAGGTTTAACGCGTGAAAAACGGTTAGAGTAATCCATAAATTTTTGCCTGTTCTAAAATTGACATTCAGCGGCAAAAAAAAAAAATGTTATCAGTAAAATTTTATATTATTAGCGACTAAATTTAAATTATTGTCCCTAAATATTTGGAATTAGTGATGGATTAATAATATATTTTTGTTGAAACATTTAAATTGTCACTAATTAGATTCATTATCATATATTTGGTGACAACAATGTTTTTTCACCACTAATTATATATCATTAGTGGTGCCAAATAATTATGACAACTAAATAATTTCAATATCCTACTTTCAATGACAGTAACATTTTTTTTGCAACTAAACATATTCATTCAATGACAATATTTGTAATTACAATACAAATTTAGCGGCTAAAAGTAATTTTTTTTGTAGTGTTCTATGGTGGATTAGAGCTCGAGATCGACCAATTATAACTCAAGTGAATTTGATTCGACCAAAAAATAAGATAACGGTAATATCACATTATCATTGTCTCATAATATTATCTTTTAATAAAAAATTTATAAATGAATAATGTGAATTTCATTTATAAATATAGAATAATTTTTATCTTATATGAATGAAATAGTTATTAAATTTTGAGATACTTATTTAACCACGTGTCGATCCACTGTTAAATGGTGATACTACATGGTATTGATCAAGTAATGTCAGTATTACGTTCAATATTTTCTAAAGATGGAGATGGTTTATGATTTAGTACAAAATATTATGATAGGAGGAATTTTCTTGAGGGATACATGCATTAATTTTGCTACATAGTTTTGATACAACTTGTTATAATATAATTCTGATACTACTTATTGGAACATAACTCCGATATTACTTGTTGGTTTTGCATAAAAGATAATTAGTACAAATAATACTTATTGAAAATAGGAATTCAAACATAAAAAAATAATAAAAATATGGCACAAAGATATATCGTAATTCGATATATCATATTCTCCTTGGTACACCATACCTATATTCATGAACCAAAAACTTACATCAATGTACGTATTATTCATTGAAAAACTGGTCATTTGATTATCTGGTAATTGATTACATAATAATCAATCCTATTTATAGGGATAAAATATTGTAATCTAAACCTATTCAGATACAATTTGATCTTGATGTTTCCTATCACATGTACAATATACTTATTCATGATATATTAAAACTCTTCTAATATAATCATGTTCCATATAGGATTTTTACATTGCAACAAACTCTCATTCATGAGAATTAGAAAGTTTGGGTCAAATTTCAATAACCTCCCTTGAACCAAATTCTTTAAATTTGAACATGCTCGACATCGGGCTTAACACCCTTAATTTTGACTCACCAAATTTTCTTTGGAGGTTGATCCTCTTATATGGACTTATTTGAAGATAAATTCGTCAAGAAAATTTATTTGGTTTTAAGTCCATTTTTTGTCAATTTTCCTATTATAACCCTTCTTTGTGGAAATATTATAAACGACGTTTATGGACATAATAACCAGCCATATATATCTTCTTCATAATCGCCTTCAAATTCAGGTATAATCTTCTAAGTCACAATGTTTCCTTATCTGAAAAATAAGAAACCATTTTTATTCAAATTTCAAACTCATAACATTCTATAAAATACAATTTCAATTTACTATTCCAGTTTAATTTGGACTCCATCGACAAAGTATTAATATTAAATATTAATATTTAAAAAATAACAATAGTAACATACTCAATAAAGACAGTAACATAGTCACTAAAAAAATAGTAACATACTCACAAAAAAATGGTAACATGATAAAAAAGTAATAACAATTAAGGATTTAATTCTGTCAAAGTGGGCATTATCCTTGTAATCAAGATTCAAGAGAACTCACACATTAGTACTAAATTAAAGTGTTATAGATTTTGATTTAATTTTGTTGATTTTTTTATTGCACAAGACAATTGAGTATTCCTTAGTTGTATTACTGTGAAAAAAGTTCATGTTATTGTACAGGAACCGCAAAATAGAGTTCATAATTTCAATATCTTGATGTTCACAATTGGTGTTGAGTGTCGTAATTCAACTGTCGATTGTGTGTTACTACTCCTCATTCTGTAAATTTTCAATTTGTAAATCGTATTTTCAGTAAAATCATTCGCAAGTAGATGTTACTATAAAAAAAACTTTTGTCTTGTATTTTGTAAAATTAGATGTCTTATTGAGCACAAAATTTTGATGTTACTGTGAATATTAAAGTGTATGTTACATAATATATGTCTCAACATTTGCAATTGTATGTTAAAATTCACTATAGTAATATTAGTGTTAGTATAGTAACACGACTGTACTTGTAATACAACCATAATTGTAACTGTAATCATATAATAACATGAATGTTACTATATATTAACATTTGTGTTACTGAACTTTGTTAGTATTGTTCAACTACTCTATATAATGCATTACTGTTGTTAAGGATATTTTGTGATTTGATATTGACTTAATAGACCAACAATTTATTTGTACATTAAACTTCCTATATATAATTATCAGAATATATAACTTCCACATAAAACTTTCGTTAATTATCACAATATTTAATAAACAGTTTATATATATAACTCAAGTAAGGGTTTCCATATATACCTTAATGATCTAACCTATGCGGCTTTTCATAATTGGACAAAACTAACACCATTAGAGGTAATTTTGAAATTTAAAAAATAAGTGGACTTAAGTACCTACATATAAGTTTAAACATGGACTTATCCCCAAATAAGTTTCTTTCCAGAACTCAAGTCATTATAAGTTCATCTAGGGGGACTTACCCTCAATTTTCACAATTTTCAAACATAACGTGCAAACTTGCTTTTCTGATTTGCCACAATTCTCTTTGTCTTTTAAGAGCTCGCGTCTTAGCCTGCATCACTTGTGCATCTCTGCTTGCATCTTACCTACTCTTGGGAAGTTTCAACTCTGCCTACGTCTTACTTACTCTTGGAAGGTTTCAATGGTCAATACTTCACCATTCAAATGAAAATGTTTGGTAACTCGTAACCACCAAAAACACCAAATCATCACTATTGGTTTTATATCAACCCAATAACACTCCAACCATTGAAATATCGTGACTTTAACTCTAAGAGCCTAAAAATCTAAAGAAACATCTTCAATACAACACATGTAGTAATTTTTAAAATCCAAATAATTAGGAAGCAACTTTGTCTTCTGTTTGGTTTGATATCAACTTTAATTTTTTTCTTGTGGATCTAAACAAAAATATAAATTGTCCATACGTGGCAAGAGAGTATTCTTGAACATGAATACCAACTTTATCATTGAATCACCAATAATTTACTTTGATTGTTATATTAGGTTCGTTAGTCTAACTCTGATTGTTCTACCTGGATTATTAATCTATCTCTGAGTACTTACACCAAGAGCGTCAATTTTGCTCTGATTGATCTACCATAATCATCAATCTAGCTCTGATACCACTTGTTAAAACATAACTCTGACACCACTTGTTAGAACACTAGCAATTGTCCGTGTCTGAAGGCACGATGTTACTTGTAAATAAGTT